TCAGATAAAAATCGGAGACAGCACGTGCTCACAAACATTGTTGTTATAAAGTTAACTATCGAAAATGTATGCAACTGAATTTTCAGATCTCAAAACCGTCTAGATTGGCTGATACATCTACCCACACCTTGAGACACCTGATATTAATATTTTTTTAAAGCTTAATTTACTTAAAATAATCTCTGAATTTGATAAATCATTACATAGACGACAAGTGTAACAGGTACCAGGTAATCTTCTGTATTAGAAACCAGCGCTTTAAGCCAAAAATGCTGGTAATGAGTTTACCTATATGCGGTGATGAGTTTACCGATCTCCAAAGGATGCCGGTGATCAGTTTACCATATCTCGGAGGGTCTAATAATTTTATGGAGGGCTATATAGTGATGAGTTCGTACACTTCCGTTTTCGATATACACAGAAAAATAGATAAAGGGCTAAAAAAATAAGTGATATATTTGATATAGTAATTTTGACAAGAATTATGAAGATCTTAAATGCAAGTTAAGTAGTTAAAAAACATTGAATAAGAAAAGGCGTGTGTCCCCTCTTGTTTTGTATTTATTTCTATTTTGCAGCAGAGGCAATAAATTAAAATATTTTGAACCAGCCTGCTCTATCAGCCGTATAGAATATTCAACTGGCGCGATTTTATTTCATTACTTTACTCCAAAATGAATTGTTTTAAAGTTATAAACAAGGAAATTAGCAAAAAATCGATGTTTTTAGTCATTTTTAAATATTTTAATTTTTTTAATAATCTTCCCGACCTATTTAAGAAGGAGGATAAGTCGATTATTATTACTGAGGTTATCAGCTAACTATCTCAAAACAGATCCACCCAGGTTAATAAATTATACATTGAAAATTTTTGGGTTGAAAGGGTTGAAAATATTAAATAGTTATCAAATAAAATTATAAAGATTAAGGTGATTTTAATTTACTATAAAATGCATTAATAGATCATTTTCTTAGACATCTATAGAACATTTCCATATGATAAACAAATCTTTCTTTTACGTACTTACATATGGTTAACATTTAAATAACGCATAAATCTGCAGTTTTTAATTTTTGGTAAAAATGGTAGTTTTCACCCCTTAAAAAAAACACATTTGAATTATACAACTTTTAACACGTACGCTGCTGACTTTTTTCGAGAGATGATACCCAGGAGCGGCGTAAAATATACTGTCTTAAAAATCAACGGGTTACTAGGAGTCATGTGCACGTCGCAAAGGACCTCTTTGACTCCGATCGGAGACATGCGCACGTAGCAAAGAACCGCTTTGACTCCGATCGGAGTCATGAGCAGCAAAAGTGTTCAAGAGGATGGTAAATTGCGCTTACTTACAAAATGTCATTAAACTCGGTGTGGTTCTTAAAATTCTGTGGTTTTACAATATTTTACCGTGAAAGAATGGACTAAAGGGAGAATTCCTGGCTCAAGCATCTAGGCCTATACCTCGGAAAAACATCACTCGAAATCTTCTGAGCCACCATTTCACGTTTAACTAATGCCAATTGGATCGCTAACCTTCTAAGGGAGACGGAGCAATGAGAGAAGAAATACAAGCTAAAAACTGGGAAAGTTGCATTGAAATTGAGGATAGGCGAGTTATACTTTCCCAAAATGTTTAAAATATTTTTTTTAAACCATTTTCCAGAGTGTAAATCAAATTTCAATATCAATAATCAATATTTAAAAATGTAATTTTAATTAAAATTAATTGTAGCTTGATCCCATATAAACATAATATTTTATTTCGACATGCCACAAGAAAACAATTTCAGAACCTATTTACATTTTATTCTGTCGTATTCTCCTGGTAAAACCTTGCCAAAGTGCTTCTAGACGCTATTATGCTTTTTACATCGCTTTACAAAAGTCGAATCCCGTTATTTTACGTAACTTCATGAATAGAATTATTTCATGCAATTTGAGATAAGTTTAACAGGAGTGTAATAGCCAGATTTGCACCAGTTATTAAAGTGGTATTTTATTGCAATTTGTATTTAAAATAAAAACTGTTGCTTTAGTTTCTTTTAATAAATTCTTTTGTTGTTTTTTATAAATTATTTGTTCATGTTCAAAAGACCGATATAACTGCAAATAAATTTTCTTGGATTAAAATTACCCTGTTGTAAATCCTGTACTGGACGATTTTTATATTATTAAGATATATTAATGCTCCCTTCACTCATGGAACGACAGTTCCTATTTCTAATAATTCTCATGATTCGATTCGTTAGAGCATACGTGTAGTTAAATGCCAACCAATAAAATAGCAATAGGGAGAAAAGCCGACATGTGTGCTACCCCTACAGTTAGGTGGCCTAACCACAGTCATTAAAAAACAGAAGGTGTCTCATTACCCAAGACACCTTACGTAACATTCAGATCATAAGCCTCCTCACGTAAGTCACACGCTGAGGAGGGGTGGAGGAAAAGCCTGGGGGTCAGATAGGTACCACCTCAACTAGTGAGGTGTAACCGGTTTGATTTTCGGACATGTGGATCCCACTCTTACAGTGGTATACACATGTCCCTAGGGGTAGGGTTGATCGCCTCGCGTGATTGTGTGTGTGTGTGTGCCAATAAAATATATCTACATAAATATGTATATACTTTCTGAATATAAAAAATAAATTTGGATGATGAAATATGTTTGTCATTTGAAATATTGAAATATGAATATTTGAATATTATATATATTTTGAAAAAATAATGACAGAGATACAATTGTGTTTATCACTATCACATGTTTAAAAAGAAATGTCAGTGGTAAGAATGAAAAAGTCAATGGTAGGAACTATACGTAAATGTAATGATAAGTATAATAATAATAAGTGATAAGTATATTATTGCAAAGACCACAGACTGATAAGTTTAATGAGCCATTTGCTTAAGGTGTTTCTTCGCATCCTTCACACAAGAATGTTCAGAAAGCTGGAAGATCTAAGCGGTGAGACACAATTTGGTTTCAAAAACGGATTGGGTACACGTGAAGCAGCTTTTTGCTTGAATACGCTTGTACAAAAGTACATGGATCAACGAAAGGATATACTCATAACATTCCTCGATTATGAAAAAGCGTTTGACACCGTAAAACATGACGCAATAATAAAAATGCTACACAATGCTAACATTGACGAGAAAGATATAAGAGTTATCCAGAATCTTTATTGGAATCGAAAAGCACGAGTGAGACTGAACAAATCAACTAACACAGAAGAATTTGAAATTTTAAGAGGGGTGCAACAGGGGTGTATTTTGTCTCCTATGCTTTTCAATCTCTATGTGGAGACCATTTTTGCAGAGGCACTGGAAGGCTCTGAGTGTGGAATAAAAGTAAACGGGTTTCTGATAAATAACATTCGTTATGCCGACGACACCGCGATAATAACAGACAACGAACATGATATGCAGTTGATGTTAAATAAAATAAACACCGTTGGAAAAATATATGGCTTAAAGATAAATGCTGAAAAAAACTAAATGCATGGCAATAAGAAAAAACGCACTTTTAAGAATACAACTGCAAGTAGATAATGCTCCAATCGATCAACTGAAAACGTTTAAATACTTGGGAATGATGATAAATGACAAATGGGATCCTCAAAAAGAAATAAAATGCCGTAGCAAACAAGCAAGACAAGCTTTTATCAAGTTTAAACCGCTACTATGTAACCGCAATCTTTCCTTTCATCTCCGCTACAGGATGGTTAAGTGCTATATATGGTCCATATTGTTATACGACATGGAAACATGGACGTTAAGAGTACCTAATAAGTTAAAGGCCTTCGAAATGTGGACGTTGCGAAGAATGTTCCGCATACCATGTAACAGATAGGGTTAGAAACGAGGAAGTCTTAAGAAAGGCAAATACTGAGAGAAAACTACTCAATTTAATCAAGGTACGAAAAATTGGATACCTCGGCCATATTCTGAGAGGAAAAAAATACACAATCCCTCAACTAATCATCCAGGGAAAGATTGAAGGCAAGAGAGGAGTAGGTCGCAAACAATATGGCTACGAAACGTAAAGAACTGGACAGGCATAAATAACACTGGCGATCTTTTGCATGCCGCAAAAGACAGACGTCTGGCCTTAAGATAATTCACCAACGCACTATAGGTGCACAACACTATAAAAAGAAGATATTAATACTATATTAAGTATAAGCACAGTATAAACACATAATAAATGTACATTGATTGCAGAATAACGACTTATTTCTATATTTGGGGGCTTATTTAATAGTATTTGTAGATTTTGAAAATCAACTGACTAGTTAAAATAAGGAGTAAAAGTCAAATCAAATAAGGAGTTGGATGCATGATCCCATAATCATGCTACATCTGATCCTGTTTTCTCCTACACAGGAGAACCACCCGATTATTCCTTCTTAAGAGACGCTGATTCTTATGTGTGGATCCTGGATATCCCAAAGATTTCCTATTTTCTAATAAAGTGAACGACAGAGTTATCTTTCTTAAGTAACAACATTACACCAGACCCTGGGTCAAGTGATATCTTTCATCGTCTTTATAATCTGAAGGTGATCGTTGAAAAAGTACTTTATCATCATTCAAAAGCTATCGCAAATAATAATTATCGACCACTTCCTATCTCATCTTGTTAGTGGCATCTTAGTCTGGAGGTTTTTTGAACACGGTTTTATAGCCAGACGTTATTGCTACAAAGACAAACGTTTTTGCTTGTGAATTTTTGAGAAGAGAAAACTTTTAACCCTTGACTTCGTATAGAGAGGTGTAGTACATATTTAGTAAAACTATTATCTTATCTTTAAATCGATAGAATATACCAGGTCTTGACTTCCTATATTTTTTCAGATCATCTGTGGCCATACACATTTAAGGCCAACTTTGCCTAATTGTTTTTCGAAAACGAATTATTATTAGCACTAGTAACTTTCTTGATTTTGGCTATTATTCATAACTTATATTAAATTTATTAATTCCATCTCGTTTTTAGGTGGGTCATGTATTTAGAAAAAGACACCCTTACACATTCCCAGGAGGTAGTGGTACAGTATTTGCAAGGAATACTAGGCGAGCTGCAGAGGTCTGGATGGATGAATTTAAAAATTATTATTATGCTTCAGTTCCTCTAGCGAAGAGTGTGAACTTTGGAGAGTAAGTATAACTAAGTGATTATCTATAGGTACTAGATTATTAGTATTTAAAAATACACTGCTTGAATGCAGCAACTAGTCATTTAAACTAGATTTTGGATGATGGAGGGCAATTTCTCAATGTTCCAGTTAATTAAGCTCTACGCTTACTCAACGATTTCCTGCAAATGTCCTACGATTATTTTTGTCCAACTGTAAAATTAAAGCTATTAAGTCAAACATGAAAAACGTGTGGACTTTAGCATGTTTCAGTCAAGTCACTAAATCTTCACATCGAGAAGATCCATAAAAAAGTTAACACGCACACTGATATGAAAATTAGGCTTATAAGAGTCGCTACTTGTTGTACTAATGACCTGATGTGCATTTAATAAAATTTAGAGCACCACGATGTTGAATGGCTCGATGAGAAAGACGTAGACATTCCAAAATTGGATGAAAGCGAGCAGACACACAACATTTAGAAGCAAACATCTATCATCGAAAACTTATAATCATGGATTCAATTAATGTGTATTGTGTATTTAAATATTTAAAAGAAATTTATTTTGATCGTAATATTACTTAAGATTATAATCTTTGTGCCTTTCTATATAGTGAATACCGTTTCAGTAAAGTTTGTTTAATTGAATATTATGTACAATCCTCTATCCTAAATATATTTTCTTATTTCTAAAAGTATAATATATGTTTACGTAACATGAGAGCGGGGGTAAGTCCTTTGCTAACTTTTGGCGACAAGGGGGTTGGGGGATAAATAATTATAATATTAAAATAAATCTGCTTGCGTAATACTTGAACGACCCCTAAGAAGAGGACGTTCAGAAAATAAGAATACAAAACATATATTTCACAATACTTGGTTCGAGGAGGGTATTTGCATATTTGTTTAATTCAAATATATAATGTGTGGGTGTATGTGTAAAAAAAATTAACTACTGCTGACGTAATCATCATCTAGATTGCCTATGCCTCCATGACATCAAAAACAAATAAGGCAAAACCCCCTAAAGTGATTACGTAATATTCGAACAGCTTCTTATCTTGCTTGAATGTATAAACAATACTTGAAGAATCAGGTTTTAAAATTTTAAATCATTTTGTGTCTGTTTAAATAAATAACCATGAAATAGTTGCCACATGGATAAGACAGAAAACCAAAGTCACCGATGTGGTGCAAAAATCATTAAAGTTGAAATGGGAATACGCTGGACATGTAGCTAGGAGCGATCTAAACAAATGGCACAGATCAATTTTAACCTGGAGACCATACCAACACAAAAGACCCAGAGGCAGGCCTCCTATGAGATGGACAGATGATCTGAAAAGGACTGCCGGGAAAAATTGGCTACAAGTAGCGTACAATAAAAAACAATTTTTTTTCATAGCAAAATTTTTTCCTTCGATAGCTACAAGCGGAGGAGATTTAAAAATGGGTGTAAATTCCGTAGGTCTTTTGATAATATCCAATCGAGCTATAAATGGTAGCAAAAATATAGGAAAAGAAAAAAAGGTACTTACAAGATATTTTGGCCGGCAAACATATCACGAAACGAAACTTTTCACGCTAACTTCTGCACGTGGTCACCAACGTGGTCGCATATCTTCGTTCAACCAACTGTCCCTTGCTTCTCTTTAGAAGCCAATCCATGTTTATGCCGAATGCCGAATTACATCGTTGCCACATGTAACGAGGGGAAAAGGGAACCAGGGAAAAGGACATGAACCAATTAAAGCTCGACCTGGCTCGTCTACCAATGAATGATTACCGAACAGAAAGGAAGACTTGAAGAGGCTTATGTTCAGACGTTCAGACGTGAATGTGAATAGCGGACTCACTTCACTGTGAATAGTTTTACAATAGCCCTTTTAAATCACACTTAAGCCAGAAAATTTTTAGACGAAGCAATATAAAATCATAAGTGCATCCGCAACTTTAAATTTGAATTGCTGAGTAAATCTAGTCAACCAACGAGTGATATGAGTAAAACTCTTCTAAGACGATATGAGACGGAGTAGTACGATATGAGACGGACTCTCACGAGTATATGACCACTCAACACTCATTAACATATATTCATGAACACTCATCATTAATCGTTGCCGGAAAACGTAAGATGCTTGAAAACCAGAACATATATACCTACCATAATTTGACATATTGATAAATTGATAACAATATAAATAAATTAATAATAGTTAATAATAATTTATTTCTTATTTTAGTATCAGTGATCGTCTCGAACTTAAAGAACGACTGCAGTGCAAGCCATTCAAGTGGTACTTAAAAAATGTTTATCCGGAATTGAGTGTACCTCAAGTTACTACTTCACGGTACGGCCAAATTCGTCAAGGTGCTTACTGCTTGGACACTATGGGCCATTTGTTAGATGGAATTGTAGGCTTGTACCAGTGTCATCATACTGGTGGAAACCAGGAATGGGGATTAACCAATACGGGACTTCTACGGCATCATGATCTTTGTTTAACAGTATTTAATTTTGCTAAAGGTAATGTAACTTTTTATTACTTACTTTATGAATAATATTAATATAATGAATTATAATAAATAATAATTAATAAATTTATCAAAGAGTATTTCATAAATCATAAAAATAAAAGCCACTAGATCAATACTAGCATAAGCGGTTGGCCTTCGGTCAACACCCTAGGGCCAGTGGAGTTCCCACCTGATCAGTACTCTGGCGGAACGCTATTGACGCTATTCTCTCTTATGGCGTACGCTGTTTTAAACCCTTTTCGGTCTTCCATCTACTCTAGCGCGCATCAATGGAAGTGGAACGCAGCGGTGGGAGTGCGTCTGTACATAGCGTTGGCGGGACGGTGGCAATAGCTGGCGATACACATCGTTACTGTATACCTGTTTATTTGATAATCTAATATGTTTGCCTGAATTGAAACTAATGATTTGGTTTTAGAATTTTCCTCTCAATAATATTTTTATATGCTTTAGTGTGTTTCGCAGACGACACTACACTTCTAGCCTCTACTTTAGAAGACATTACTAACTTATTGACAAAACTCGAAGTAGAAAGTGCTGAATTTGGACTCAAAGTCAATTACAACAAAACCAAAATCATGGTTATTACTACAATAGTTTCCTGATACCTAAACTATTGCGGAATGCAAGATAGTTTCCACTGTGATATGTCTTTGAGTTCCAGTTAACAACACAAGCAGTTGTGAACCCGAAATTCTAAGACTCATTCAACTAGCAAGAGTAGCAATGTGTAAACACCATGTGTTTTGTTTTTGAACAGTTTATGTTTAGGCCAAACTCTCTTCCCACTGTATCAATGGCATTTAAAAGGCATTGTAATCCATTCATGTCATCACTTAAAATAACTGTATCGTCTGCATGTCTGATTGTATTTATCAGAATTCCATTAACTTTCACGCCCCATTCCAAATTATGCAGCGCTTCTTTAGATATTCTATCTGAATATAAATTAAATAACAGTGGGGATAGTATACAACCCTGTCTGACACCTCTTTGTATTTTACATATTTCTGTTGATTTTCCGTTTATGCAAGCTGTCGCTGTTTGACGCCAGTATAACTTTTCTATGAATCGTATGTCCTGACTATCAACTCCTTTATCTTTTAATATTGTAATTAATTTGTGATGCTGTACTCGATCAAAGGCCTTTTCATAGTCAATAAATACAGCAAAGACGTCTTTCCTTTGATCTCGACATTTCTGCAGTAATACATTTAGTGCAAAGAGGGCGTCCCGAGTTCCCAGTCCATTTCTGAAGCCAAATTGTGTTTCATCCTGATCTTCTTCACATTTATTTCTGATTTTACTGTGGATGATGCGTAGAAATATTTTCAAAGTGTGGCTCATAAGGCTTATCATTCTATAATCGCTACAGTTTTTCGGACGTTGTTTTTTTTTTGGTAGTGTTATGAATTCGGACTTTAACCAATCTTCAGGGATATCACCAGTCGAATAAACATCATTGAAATGTTTGACCAGTATTCCAATGTTCTCCTCATGTATAAGCTTTAACATCTCTGTCGGTACGTTATCAGGGCCAACGGCATTCTTGTTCTTTGCTAACTTTATAGCATGCAGTATTTCTGATTTTAGTATTTCTGGTCCTTCACCTTCAACTAAAGTATCCGGTTCTTCGGGTCTATCATCATTATACAGTTCACTTATATAATTACACCAGGTTGTTTGAATTTCATGTTCGTCTATTATCATTTTTTCCCGACGAATCGGTTATAGTATGTGGAGTTTTCTTATGATAAAGACCAGCTACTTCTCTAACTTTTTTAAACATATTAAACGTATCATGTTTTTCATTCAACTTTTCTAATTCCTTGCATTTATCCTCCATCCATTTTTCTTTAGCCACCTTTATTTTTTGTTTAATTAGTTTCTGTTTTTCCTTATATTCTGTCTTGTTACCTTTCAGTTTCCTTCTCTGTTCCATTAATTCCAGGATTTCATTAGTGATCCATTGTTGTTTTTTGTGTCTGTGTAACGTTGTTGAATATTTTTCTATTACTTTCAAGGTAAGATCTTTAAATGTGTTCCATATTTCTGTGTTGTTTTCATTTATTGATTTCTTTAGCTCATTGTTTAAGTCATTTTCTATTAACGTTTTGTTGGATATTGAGATATTTAATTTTGGTGTTTTGGGGCTTTCTTGGATTTTTTTGAGCTTCACTTTGATGTCAGTTATTACAGGGTGATGGTCTGAACCGATATCTGCACCAGGATATGTCGTTACTCTGGTGACGCCATTCTTAAATCTCTTGTTTACCAGAATATAGTCTATCTAATTTCTAATCATATGTAGTGAATTATCTCCTGGTCCCCTCCATGTGTATAACCTTCTTTTGTGTAATTTGAATCAATTTTATTAATTAATGTTGTTAATTGTTCTGTGATTGCTGCTCCACAATATTTCAGTAAATCGTTTGGTATCCCGTCTTTACCTGCTGCTTTTCTTATCTTCAGGTTTCAAGTATTTTCCGAACTTCCTGTACATTTATATTAAGTTCTTTATTTGTGGGAATTTCTGGTGTTTGCGGTTCTAGCGCCGTATGTTCTTTCTCTGCATAGAGCTTTTTTAAGTAGTCAATCCACGTATCCTTTTCTATGTGTTTTGGTTCTATTAGTTCCTTTACCTCTGTTCTTTGACCTCTTATGAAGCGGCATATTTCCTTTTTCAGACCGTAAAAATCATGTTCCATTTCTTACCAAAAGCGTTCTCAGTGATCATTTTTATGTTTATTATAAGTATATGTGTTTCGTTTTTAATTATCTTGTAATTCTGGTATGCCTCTTGTGTTTTGGTTGAGAGTATTTTTGGTATTTAACGGAAAAAATGTTTTTTTCCGTTAAATACCATTCTCTCTCCTGTTGCTGACAAAGAATGTAGAGCGTAGAACCATTTTAATTAATTTTAAACTGTTTGTCCTTGTTTTAGTGTAGTGTTTTGTACAATTTTATGTTAAAATTCCTGTTTATCACATTCTACGCTTGCTGAGTAGCCCAAATTTGACGAAATGTCCCTGAAGATGCTGTAGTAAGCGAAAGTACTTGGGCAAGTTTTAATTGTTAAAATTGTGCTCGATATTCGCCTTTCATTTTCAAAGTTCATTTATTCTAGCATTCAACCTTATATCAATTTATATATAAATCTGCTGTCAGAACTTCTTCAGAAGTTTCTAGTGTTCTGCATCGTTTGTAGTGAGGGCCCAGTCATCGGCGAATCCAAACTTTCTTGATTGTGTTTCCGACATATCTGCTAAATATAAGCTAAACAGTAATGGAGAGAGCACTGACCCCTGTTGTAGACCATTCTTAAGTTTCTTTGGTGGGCTGATATCTGTGCCAATCACTAGTTGAAACATTCGGTCGTTGAGCATGCTGTCTATTAAACGTGCTATTTGTTTACAGGGGATTGCACGGAGAATTTTGTATATAAGGCCCTCTCTCCATACTGTATCGTAAGCTACCTAGCGATCAATAAATGCCACTGAAGTTTTAAGTTTTCTTTGGAGACCCGCTTCGATGTAGGTGGTGAGTGACATTACCTGGTCCACGCAGCTTCGTTCTGGTCGAAAACCCGTTTGTTCGCCTGGGATCACCTGGAACAGTTCTGTACTGATTCTATTATATATAAGCCTCTCTAATAGTTTGTAGATAGCAGAGAGAAGCGCAATTGGTCTGTAGTTTTTTGGGTTGTCAGCCGTTTTGCGTGGCTTTAGTATGGCTATTATCTTAGAGCGCTTTAGTTCTTGTGGAATATTTCCAGTTTCTATCATGTCTGTGAAAAATCGTGCCAGCTAAACTTTTGTATACTTGCCACAATGTAGTAGAAATTCAGGGTAAATATTATCAAATCCTGGTGCTTTTGCTAGCTTAACGTCTTTAAGAGCCTCTGATATGTCTTCGCTGGTGAAGGGGAGGGAATGCTTCGTTTCTGTGGCTACATGTTTTAAAGTTTTAAGTTCTCTCTTTACGTAGATGGTTTGTGCTTTATCCTTTGGTGCCCTGGATGTTTTTACTTTATGTGATCCTACGGCATCTGTCTTTACGGCTGCCTCTCGGCGTTTTGTACGTACACCGCTCCCTAATTTTCTTAGTAATGACCATGCCTGTCTGCTTGATTTCTGGAAGTTTAGACTTTCTGGTGTTCTGTATTCTGGTGTTTTGGTATCATATATATGGGGTTTCATTCGGATTTTGCACAATACTAATTTATGATCGCTTCCTATTTCTGCTGATGTTAGTGCTCTGCTCTTACATCCAAGATTTGAGATGGCTTTAACCCTCTATTCTACAGAATATAGTGTATCATAGATCTTTGTCCCCTCCTGTTTTCAAAAGTGCATTTATATTGTTTTATATATAATTGAATATATATATATATATATATATATATATATATATATATATATATTATATATATATATATATAACAAACTATATGAAATACCTGAGGATTGCATCAGGATCCAGACGATTCGGAAACTATTCGAATCACTTTCAACATATTAAAAATATTTCGAATAATGTAGTACTGCTGTATTTTAAACAAACAAAGCCGAAATAAAGAAAGAAAGAAATAATGCCAAAAACAATGAATACATTTTTAACATTGTCATAACAAACTAATGACAATCAATATAGGAGTGCTGGAGCAATAATTGTACGATACTTATAATTTAAATTTCAAAAAATTCCTTATCTTTATTTTAGATTTTTAATAGCACCCGTACTTTTAAAGTAACCACAGACCTTAACTTTAAGACATATATTTTTTCTATAGTTTTTTTTTAATCATCAATTTTTAAATATAAAAATAAAAATACAATTTAATTTTATTTCCAGTGGGATCCCAAGTAATTATGCGAATATGCGACGGTTCTGTTGAACAAAAATGGCATTTGATTGCCCCCGATGGTCTTCTTCGTAATTCTAAATACCCACTTTGTCTAGACTCCCGATTTACAGACACAAAAGGCATTACAGCAGAAAGATGTAGTAGCAGTTTGGATTCTCAAAGATGGCAATTAACAGGAAGATCTTAAACGACATAGTAAGTGGATCACGGAACTTAAGTAATAAAGTAATTTGCGAAAGATAATGTTACGAGAAAAATGAAAATACTGGGTCTGATTTTAGGTATTGTAGGTCATGAGATCTCTCGATTTTTATGAGACGTTTAGGAAATATGCTTACTTGATAATCAAAATATTTGGTACGCAGCTGTTTTTAACTTCAAATCTAAATAAATGCTAACAATGTGATTCTAATGATTTTAAGAAAATTATTTTCTACTTTTCCTCTCATCATCATCATTCTGGCTTTACAACCCTGCGTGGGTCCTAGTGCCTCCTCAAGAATTTCTCTCCACTCGTCTGTTTCATCGTTAAAATTTGTATTAAGTAATTTGTAAATTTATATTGTGTATCTGTGATTTATTTTTAAAGCAACAGTTAGATTTTAGGCATAAATACATTTTAATAATTGTGATTTTAAGTAATAATAAAATAAGTATGCAATATCCTAATTATTCGAATTTATAACTGTAATTTAACCTTTAAAGTTCCTTTAAACATTGATAATTACTAACACTTCAGATTTTCCTTACCATAATTGATAAGGTTTATTTTTTTATGTTGCGCCACTGTATAAAAATGGTCAACCAGCTAAAATCTAACCTGTTCTTTAGCCTCTAAATCTAAATATTCACTAATTTTTGTAACTCATTCGTAATACTTGCCTTGCCCATTTAGTTCAAACATCATGCATCTGGGCACTTATTTTATCATATGTATATATAATATACGTATATATACGTGACTACACGCGTGGATTACATTAGTAATCCGTACGTACTGGAGCTCTGGAAAAGCAATATTATTTGAAAATAGTGTTATTGTTTTAATGAGGTTTTAATAATACCACTGCAATCTATAATTGGCTTTATTTTATAAGTAAAATGTACATTAAATTAAAAAAAAAACAAAAAAAAACAATGTAAAATTAAAAAACAAATACTATAAATCAAAGTTACCTATAACCAAACGTTAGAAACCAAACTAGGCTCTATAATATCCTTCATATAACATCTTATCTGATTCAGACTGCATGTCCACATTTATCTCAACACAATGTAAGTACACAAATTTGCTTTAAAAGGAAGAGCGCCCACCAAACTGGCATGGCAAGTGGCAAGTGGCAAGTAACTAGAATGTTACTTAAAATGTAACCAATGAAAACGAATGATTTAGCGCACACCAAAATGACAGTGACGTCATCCATTCTAATCATTCGTTTGCATCGGTTACATTTTAAGTAACATGCTAGACGCGTGCTACTTGCTACTTGCCACTTGCCATGACAGTTTGGTAGATGCTCTCCCTAAATGTCCTGGGCAAGTCCGCTGATCACAGCTGCTGCACCATTTTCTTGTGCTTTTATTCCTTGCTCTTGACAAATACGACAACGCCCAAGGACCGAAGGTCGAGTCGGAAATTCTTTAGGAGTTTTCTTATTTATTTTTAAAAGAAATTTAATTTTTCTTTTATTTCTGTTGATGTGTGAGTGTTGTCTAGTCGCCTTTACATCAGTGGTTTTATTAATCAAACGAAATGTCCTGAAGAAAAGTGCTTTTTGGGAGTGGTGCAGTGACATTATTAATCTTATACAGGGAAATGCATTAATTCCTGATATATTTAATAAATCAAAGAACACGATGTGTGGCCAACATAACTGGTCAACCAGATCCACAACAAATTTTGTTGTGTTGTAATCCGTTATTATTTCGGGTTTGTTTTCGTTTTTTATTTCAGGGTCAATACTGTCATTATGGTGCATGGTTGAAACAGCTAATACGACCTTATTTTTTTTAAACGTACGTTACCAAGCTACATTTTTCTTAAAGGAATGGAATCCGAATAGTGAAGAATGTATGTCTCTGTTTTTAGACGTTATTAATTCTTGTGGTACCTCCCTCTTATTTTTACGAATTGTACCAACAGTAGTTAATCGTTTCTGAAGCAAGTCCATGGCCAAAAATATACTGGTAAACCAGTTATCCATGGTTACATTTCTGCCTGTTCCTTTTATGGGTTTAACCATTCTTTTAACAATCTCTGCGCTACTCCAATCAGTTTTATAAGGACCAATTGATTGTGTTCCACATTAAATATCCATGTTATAGGTATATGCATATTTACTATCTACTATGGCAAATATTTTTTGGATGGATGAATATATTTGGATGGTTTACTGGGGATGTATTGACAGAATTGACATTTTCCCCTAAAAAGTAATTGCTCGTCAACTGTTAAATATTCTGATAGTGTAAAAATTTTTTGAAAATCAATAAAAAGTCCAAAAAAAGTATCTTATAGGAGCAAATTTATCCAGCTCTTCTTTGTTGTCTACAATTAAAGTCGTTAAACCTCAAACTTCTTAGTAGAAATCGGAAACGATTTAAAGACATTGGCAAGTAAATAGCTTCAACGCCAGTACCTTTCTTATTATCCCACATTTGCACAACATTTAGTCTTTCAGATTTTAGAACACCTGCTAAAAAGAGTTTACCAATAACCCTCAAATAATAATAATCCCCAAATCTCTTCGACGTCGGTCATTTTAGCATCTCTGTAGCATTGACGATATTATCATCTAGCATACATTTGAAGAAAGTATTATTGGTGCAGGGTTATTTTCCCTTGTAAACTTGTGGAAGGTCCATAGGTGAGCACTCCAGCAAAATCTGAATCGTCAAAATTAAGACTGTTTACTGGCTAGATTCCAGCTTTTTCGAAAGCCTTTGTTGTATTAATAGGAGTAAATGGTAACAAATATGGCTGGGCTGTCAAACTTGCAATGTCGTAGATCGTTATTGATTGCCAGGGTTTGATAAAATGAAGTCATTGAAGGATGAATTGCACCTAGCTTTGGATGGGCCATAATTTAATAAATACGGCTGTTGACATTCAGCCTGATTGTGTTGCATACCCAACTGTATCAGGAACACTTCCATATAAATAATAATCTGTCTCATATGACTCTTGCTGCTTGGATGGCCGTAGAAATACCAGTTTCATCAGTATTAACGATTCGATCAGGAGGAAATTTATAATTGACCATAACCTCGGAATAGTTTTGAAAAAAAGTTCAACGTTGTCTTTATTAAAACCGGACTGGCGAGCAATGCTGACATTTTCCGGTTTTCTATACGACAGTTTTGGGTGGCGTTTTATTAATGAACGCATCCATTCGATTCCTGATATCTGATTTTCATCCCACGTAGCTGGATCTTCAGTTTCTTCGCATATTGAAACGCTAATATTCTAGCATGTTTGTAGGTAAATCCAAAATTCATTGATGAAGATTTATGTAGATAGGCTTCAAGCTCTACTTCTTCACCGGCAGTGAAAACTTGAAGAGATGAATATTTAGAAGCTGAGGGTGATTCTGGACTACCGGAATTATCACTTTCATTTCCTAAATCTGACTCATCCGCTGACCTCTTTTTCTTGACATGGAAGTGAAGCGTAGATTTGTTTATATTGAACATTGCTGCTGCATTTTCCGCCCATGGACGATTACTTCATTTATGATACTAGTCAAATCTTCTGTTGAAATGTTGGCTCGATCTTTTTTGCGTTTATAATTAAGCACCATTCTGTAAAAAAACAAAAAATATAAGTTTGGCGCATAATTGAGTAGTTTTTTGAATATATGATGCTCATTTATATTAACGCTCCATTCTAACAATGAGTTTTGGTTTAAATGTAATAAATTTATAATAATATTCAACAAACAATACATTTTCTTGAAATGGGGCACAATTAGACTAGTCCAAATCTGCCCCACCTGATTTGTCTAAATGTGTCCCACAGTCGTTGTATTTCTACATCAATTTTTATAAAGTCTAACGGATTGTCAAGGAACATTAACTTTAAGGTTATGGTTACCAATACACTACACTCTTCCAGTCAAGGATATACAAACTGGGCTATTTACAAGAGAAAAATATTTACACTCTTATGAACACAAAGCGTGAATACTTACATTAGTCCTTCAGTAATTTTTCAGAATTTTTTCACCAATTAATATCACGTTTTACTTGAATTTCTGCACTGACGCGGTAACGACAAACCAAAATTCGTACGCTCTGAGACGCAACTAACTTTACCATGCTTTTAAAGCGGTAAAATTGAGTTGTCCAAATGTACTCCACGTCCAAATGTGCTCCACCCTACCCTAGGTAATATTTTAGAAAGAAAATGTTTTTGATTTCGAAAGCATTCATGACACTTTTATCCTGGTTTTAGTTAGATGTTGTTGCTGTGATCATTATTGGCTAGTTTTTTTTATAATAGTTTTTTAAGCTTTTCAGTACAAATCATGAATGTGTTGCTTGTGTGAGTCCATTTCAAATAAGTAAAGAAATAATAAATAAGACTTACTCACAATCAATTTAATTTAACTATCAGACGACCGGTTTCGCTTTCTACAATATGCAAAGCATCTTCAGGTCTCGATACAAAGTTAAATAAATGATTTATTCATTTATTTAATCATTTATTCAATCATTTATTCATTCAATCATTTATTTAACTTTGTATCGAGACCTGAAGATGCTTTGCATATTGTAGAAAGCGAAACCGGTCGTCTGATAGTTAAATTAAATTGATTGTGAGTAAGTCTTATTTATTATTTCTTTACCTAGTTTTCAGTATATTTATTTTTTTATAACCATCAAATTTTTTCATGTTCATAACCTATAATGAGAAAAATTTTGCACAGCCTAATTTTTATAGGTTTAAATGTCTTCCTTGTCACTGTTATGATCCCTATTTAGTATAATTCTGTTGAACAGACCTGTTTACTAAAATTAATAGTTTCACAGTTTTTGTGTCTTATCAAAAAGTCTTTTATAGTAAAAAAATATTTTATAGACTTCTTTAGCATTGAAGTAACTAATATAGGCACTATTTCGATTTAGAACATCCAACCATATGTTTTTTGCTATTTTATTGTATGTATAGGTATACGTTTTTGCCTG